GCCATAGTCGGAAGCCAAAATGATGGAGGCCAGATTAGCAACCCCTACGTGTACCCTGATAGCACCCCACAAAAGGGTTCAGAAATTCAAGTTCGGATACATTTTTGTTATCAATTTTTTAGAAAAGAAAATGAAAAATCGCAAAAATTGCCATATCTCGAAAGCCATAAGAATTCGAGCGGTCATATATGAACGCTAGAATTGCAGCCTTGAGTTTAACCCGATAGCACCCCACTATATCGTTGAGAAATTTAAGTTCGATTAGTTTTTATATATCAAAGCTTTATGAGAAAATGAAAAATCATAAAAAACGTTATATCTCACAAAAGTATTTGAGCAGTCAAACTTGGACGCTAGATTTAAGCCCTTAAGTGTACTCCGATAGCACCACTATATGCTTGAGAAATTCAAGTTCGGTTAGTTTTTTCATATCTAACTTTTCTGATAAAAATGAGAAATCATAAAAAACGCAATATCTCGACAAAAAGCATAAGGATTTGAACAATCAAATTTGGACGCTAGATTCGGTATTCTCTAAGGTTGAGAAATTCATGTTCGGTTAGTTTTTTATCTTAAGTTTTTTGAAAAAAAAATGAAAAACTGTAAAAAAAACTCCTTATCTCAAAACTAAAACTTGGACGCTAGATTTGCAGTCCTTAATTTTAACTTGATAGCACCCCACTATAGGGTTCAGAGGTTCAAGTTTGTTCAGTTAGTTTTTTTTCATATCTAAGCTTTTCGATAAAGAATAAAGAAAAAGACGCCATATCTCGAACACCAAAAGATTTGAGCAGTCAAACTTGGACGTCAGATAGGCAAACCCTGAACGTATACCCTGGCAGTTCCTCGTTATAGGTTTGAGATTTTCACGTTCGGTTAGTTTGTTTTACCGTTCGTTTAGTGTTTTGAAACAAAAATTGAAATCACGCCATATCTCGAAAACCAAAAGGATTTGAGCCGTTATACTTGGAAGCTAGATTTGCAGCCCTTTGAGTGCTCCCTAATAGCACCCCACATTATGGTTGAGAGTTTCAAAAAGAGTGAGAGTAGTAAATTGTGAAACAAAAATTTTGATAGTTTTTTAGCCTAATTGTTGTGATAAACTTATTAAATAGTTTCAAATATTTGTATGGTTTTCGGCTAAAGAAGAAAACGGCTAAATGAGAAGAAAAACAAGACGAATAAAGCGTTAGGTAAAGTTCTGCCTTCAATCCTGCTATTCAGAACGAGCCCGGGTGCAGCTCTTGAGCATGTCTGACCAACATCTACATAGAGACTCGCGGTCAAATGCCTCACGAGACTATTACCCCACCATTGATGAACTGTTACATGCAGATGCCGACACATTCAAGAAACTTCTTGCACCTCAAAAAAAAGATAGTCTGCTCTGTCTTTTGCGAGAATCTATTTCGCAATTACGCATATCCACAAATATGCAACATCACCTCTCTTCTATTCCTCACATTTGAGAAATCTGTGAAAGAACTTTCTGAATCTATTGTAAACGCAAGTTACTCGGTTTCTCGTGGATATCCTGTTAACAATACACTTGAGACTATCAATAAAAAAGTCCACGCTCTAGCCAACCATGAATCAACTACAACCAGGCCTCCAAGAAATGAACAACTCGAAGAAACTATTGTTATCATGGGGTCGATGAAGCATCCCCGACTATCTCTAACGCCGAAAATTTCACACATGAAACGAATAGCATTCAAAAGGTATTCAATACCTTGAAATGCAGCCAATTGGAAAATTTTGCTGATATCCACACAAGAGGCAATTTTCTTCCAGGGAGAAAACCACGAACTCTCATCGTGAGGTTCAAAAGCTCGTTCGATGTTAGAAAAGCTAAAGCGTTTGCTGGGAACTTGAAAGACACATCCATATTTCTGAGAGGCGATTGTTCCGTGGAAGATAGAATGAAAGAAAAAGCACTTCTGAATTTCAGATACGAACTAGTACAGAAGGGCGTAGATAAAACTACCTTAAGAATACGGGGACTCAATCTATATTTCAAAACTGTCTGCTTGGATACAACACGCTCTGTTGATGAAGTATTTTGCGATCTAGCAAATCCTAACTCCTGACTGTATTCAAAGAACTATACACATCTCACAAACGAAGCATCTCCCCCTGTACTTAAACTTCTTGTCCTTAATGTACAAAGCATCATATCGTTGAATCGTCGAGTGTCACTAGTAAATCAATTGTATACACACCATCCCAGTAGTCAGCCTTTCTGAAACTTGGCTTTCTGAAAATATAAATAGCTGTCAAAATTTTCCAGGCTCAAATTATATTGTGGCTAGTCGAAGTGACAGAGGCGAAGGCAAGCATGGTGGTGTTCTGCTAGCAGTTCAATCCGGCGTCTACGATCTCTACAGTTATTTAGACCTTTCCATGTCGAAAATTGATTTCGGCTGCGCATGCGCGGTAAACTTACCTGAGATCTGGTATCTCTTTATAACTCTCTATATTCCCCCGCGCGGCAGCGCCTACAGCCTAGAGTCCGTTAACGTACTCGAGTTCATATCTACTACAATATCACAATTTAGGAACCTTAACATGAATTCGTGAACTAATAGATCAGAAATAAATGTGGGCGGTGATTTCAATGCCCCGGAAGTTGATTGCAGTTCCTTCTGTTCGTTTTTGGATACCAGTCAAATGCTTATTGACCACATGGACCAACTTGATCTCTTTCAATGTATCACCAAACCCACTCACAAAAAGGGAAATATTCTTGATCTTTGCTTTGTATCCAACATTGATGGGGTTGATGTAATTGATCCTGTGCTGTTCCTGGGGTTGATGTAATTTCCATTAAATTTAAGCCCTATCACCCGAGTGGCGCTATCCAGTGACAACCTGGAACCTGTTGAGTTTTTCAATGCGTTCTTTGCTATGCCGCAAGACTCGTTTAGCCGGAGTAGTAAGACCCGGAGGGCAAAACGCGTGATGCATCCATTTTATTATTCCTCTCACATCATGCATCTCTTGAACAAATTGGAGTCTTTGAAACAGAAAAGATCGTGGAGATATTGTATACCAAGACTGTGTAAATAAACGGGAGCCTGAATTCTTGGAGTCAGTGGAACTGGACAAAATATCTCTACTTTCCAATCTTGACAACTCTTTTATAGCAGACTCTTTTAAATTACTCAAACTTCTTTCAGGCTCCACCCCAAATCCTTCGTCAATTTCCTGGGAGAAAACATGTGCATCAAATGACTTATTCAAAAAGGAAGGAAGCCGCATATCTGCCAAAAACTACCGACCCATCAGTATTCTACCACGACTGTCATTAGTATTCGATCGTATTCTTTTTAATCATATGTATCCCTTTGTCAACCATAAATTATCAGATTGTCAGCATGGTTTCCGGACTCCACGTTCAACTATCACCCAACTAATTGTCTATTTAGACAAAATATACATGGATTTGCCAACGGCAACACCCCCATTGCGGCTTAATTTGATTTTCAGAAAGCGTTTGATAAAGTGCCCCATTAATAAACAAACTGCATAATTTCGGCTTTGATGAAGACTATTTCTTTGTTCAAAAGCTAACTACAGGGAAGATATCAGAAAGTTAAAGTAAATGGGGTCTGGTCCAGTGCTATCATCGTTACCAGTGGAGTCCCAGAAGGAAGTGTGCTTGGTCCAACTCTATTTGTTATTTTCATCAACGATTTGCCTGGTACCTGTTTACATTCAAGTTGCTTCATTTTCGCCGATGATAGTAAGCTATTGAACAGTGATCCAAATCTCCTGCAAGTTGAGAAACAACTTTATTGTGTGGGCTAAATTAAATCTCATGTCCTAGAATGAGAATAAATGCAAACTCCTTTTTTTTTCTCTCAGCGAATTGAAAACGAAGTTAGTCTTTTCCTTGAAGACGTAGAAATAGAAGCTGCACTGGGTAAAGGATCTTGGAGTACACATATCTAGCAATGTATCATGGCGGACACACAACATAAAAATCGAAAAAGCGAAACAAATAAACGATCAAGTTAAACGGAACATCCCATACTCTGCTCCTAGTAAAACTTAACTAAATCTATACACCTCATATATTCTATTCATTTTATTGTATGGGTCAGAGGTTTGGGACGCTGACATTACGAGTTTCCGCAAACTTGAACGCCTACAATGGAAATGTCTGAAATGAGCCTGCGGGAGTTTGGCAACATCCTATTCTACCATTTCAGTTTATCATCATGTTTTACCTATATGCTATCGTCATCAACTCAAAGATCTTCTTTTCTTCAGCAAACTGCTAAACGGAGAAATGGATATGGATCCGTTCGACTATGTGATGTACGAAAATTAGAATTCCGGTCTAAGAAAAGCATCAACTCCTAATTTCTCGATTGTAAAAAACCTCTCAGAAACGCACGGATAGTTCATTCTTTATTCGTGTTGTCCGAATGTCGAAACTTCTTATCAAGCAAAAAATCGACATTTTTGCCAAGCCCAAACATTTCAAAAAAACTATCAGAAACTTCTTTGTCAAAATGACAGTTTCCAAATTCTGTTTTTCGAGATCCTGTACTTGGTTTCTAGCTCTTGCCTGATTTATGTGATCTGAAAAAAAACTTATTTGTAAACATCCTCTGTTATATTTGTATTTGTAACCTTTTATAAAAGGAATTGACATCTATTTTGTTGTTGTTGCGAATAAAGGAAAAAACGAAAGAGTTTTGAAGCATTCGAGCTCCAACAATTTTCGAAACGCTGACTTGAGTAAATTTTCAACGCTTGCATGTTTTGGCCTTTCAACAGACCAACAAAAGGACGCCTATAACATGTGCCAAATGAAATGTCTTAAGCGTTTTTATATACGATTTAGCTGAAACGTGTAAAAACTTTTTCGTTGAACACGCAAAAAATAATACGTTGAAAAAGTTTAAACATGCAAACATAGAGTTCTCTTAAACATGTCAACACGGGGACTTCTTAAACATGTGTCACATGAAACGCCAATATATATAATACGATCTTTTAATAATAGATAATTACGATCTTTTAGAGAACATTTGAAAAATAATTCAAGGTGAATCAATTTAACTTAAATTGTCAGTTGTAAATGTCTGGACACATTTGCCATTGTTGCTTCTCTTTAGATGCCCAATATCCACCCTGGTACGCGAACACTTGTCTTTGGCTCTTATCACAAAATTGCTCTTTGAACCAAACCGGATGTGCCTCAGTATTAACATAATCAGTTGGTTTATTCTCAATCTGCTGCCTCCTGCGAGCTCTCTGCTTTTCCTCTAGTTTCGCTTTGACTTCATTTGCAAAATCCCATTTGGTGTGTTCTAACAAACGCACGTCTTGTCTCCTTCGCGAATCTGTGGGAGCAGCTCGCTCGTCTTCTTCGTTCAGCATCATTGCAAACTCACTCATGAAGTACCTTTCAGGGTTTATCACTAGCTGCGCCAAATGAAGGTACATGAAATTTAATAAGCATTCTATCGTTTGTTTTAATGTTTGTTAGTAACATCTCGCCCTGTTGGTAAATCGAGAGTGATCCCACAATGATATTGTTAACAATTGTTTGGGGCTTTGAAAAAAGATAGTGATTTCCATCATCAAACGTCACCTGCTGAACTCCAGTCGGAGTTATTTGGAGAAACTTTCCCCTAAATGAGGAGTTCATCGAATATTGGTGTATCATACTCCATCCGCGTCCCTCGACGTGCTGCACTGATATCGGAGAATGGTGCTTAACTTGCTCTGATATCAAACGGAACCCGTTTTTCCGTTGAGAGGTCTAACTCAAAGGTTTCGTGAAGGAGCGGATTAAATGGTTTGCTGTGTCTGTAAACTGTCGTGCTAAACACTGATATACCAAAAGCACCAACAAAGGCGATTTGCTCGGCGATGGAAGATGAACTACAAGCGGTGTCTAGCAAACTGCTATATTCCAAGTCTTCATCGTTGAATCGTCGAGTGTCACTTGTAAATCAATTGTATACACACCATCCCACAGTAGTCAGTCTTTCTGAAACTTGGCTTTCTGAAAACACAGACAGCCCTCAGATTTTTCCAGGCTCAAATTATATTGTGGCTAGTCGAAGTGACAGAGGCGAAGGCAAGCATGGTGGTGTTCTGCTAGCAGTTCAATCCGGCGTCTACAATCTCTACAGTTATTTAGACCTTTCCATGTCGAAAATTGATTTCGGCTGCGCATGCGCGGAAAACTTACCTGAGATCTGGTATCTCTTTATAACTCTCTATATTCCCCCGCGCGGCAGCGCCTACAGCCTAGAGTCCGTTAACGTACTCGAGTTCATATCTACTACAATATCACAATTTAGGAACCTTAACATGAATTCGTGAACTAATAGATCAGAAATAAATGTGTGCGGTGATTTCAATGCCCCGGAAGTTGATTGCAGTTCCTTCTGTTTGTTTTTGGATACCAGTCAAATGCTTATTGACCACATGGACCAACTTGATCTCTTTCAATGTATCACCAAACCCACTCACAAAAAGGGAAATATTCTTGATCTTTGCTTTGTATCCAACATTGATGGGGTTGATGTAATTGATCCTGTGCCATACTCTCTGTCTGATCACCATATGCTATTGGTTGATTTTTACATTCCTAAACCGATTGAAGAAGAAATACTCCGTCATTGAAGTCTTCTCTATTGCTGGATCAGTTTCCATTAAATTTAAGCCCTTTCACCCGAGTGGCGCTAGCCAGTGACAACCTGGAACCTGTTGAGTTTTTCAATGCGTTCTTTGCTATGCCGCAAGACTCGTTTAGCCGGAGTAGTAAGACCCGGAGGGCAAAACGCGTGATGCATCCATTTTATTATTCCTCTCACATCATGCATCTCTTGAACAAATTGGAGTCTTTGAAAAAGAAAAGATCGTGGAGATATTGTATACCAAGACTGTGTAAATAAACGGGAGCCTGAATTCTTGGAGTCAGTGGAACTGGACAAAAAATCTCTACTTTCCATTCTTGACAACTGTTCTATAGCAGACTCTTTTAAATTACTCAAACTTCTTTCAGGCTCCACCCAAAATCCTTCGTCCATTACCTGGGAGAAAACGTGTGCATCAAATGACTTAGCCAAAGCTAATTTATCAATCAATACTTTGCTTCGGTTTTTAGTCCCTCCCTCCTGGATTAGAGAAAATGTTTATAGTACTTGTGATATCAAACTCTCCGATGTCAAGCTATCTTTTGAAAATATTTCCCATGCTCTCAAACGCTGTCCCAATAGTAACGCCGTGTTTTACGATTTACTTCGCTACTCCGGAATGTTATGAATGCCTAACGCCCTTTGCTCATATCTTGTTTAAAAAAATTCTGTCTAGTTGTATGTAGACTGAAAATTGGAAATGTGCAATTGTGACTCCTCTATTCAAAAAGGAAGGAAGCCGCACATCTGTCAAAAACTACCGACCTATCAGTATTCAAACTCGATTGTCATTAATATTCGAACGTAATCTTTCTAATCATATGTATCCCTTTGTCAACCATAAATTATCAGATTGTCAGCATGGTTTCCGGACTCGACTTTCGACTATCACCCAACTAATTGCCCATTTAGACAAAATTTACATGGATTTGACAACGGCAACACCCCCATTGCGGTTTATTTTGTTTTCAGAAAGCGTTTGACAAAGTGCCCCATCACTTATTAAAAAACAAACTGCACAATTTCGGCTCCGATGAAGACTATAGTTCTTTGTTCAAAAGCTACCTACAGGGAAGATATCAGAAAGTTAAAGTTAATGGGGTTTGGTCCAGTGCTATTATCGTTACCAGTGGAGTCCCAGAGGGAAGTGTGCTTGGTCCAACTCTATTTGTTATTTTCATCAACGATTTGCCTGGTACCTGTTTACATTCAAGTTGCTTCATTTTCGCCGATGATAGTAAGCTATTGAACAGTGATCCAAATCTCCTGCAAGTTGACAAACAACTTTATTGTGTGGGCTAAATTAAATCTCATGTCCTAGAATGAGAATAAATGCAAGCTCCTTGTTTTTTTCTCAGCGAATTGAAAACGAAGTTAGTCTTTTCCTTGAAGACGTAGAAATAGAAGCTGCACTGGGTAAAGGATCTTGGAGTACACATATCTAGCAATGTATCATGGCGGACACACAACATAAAAATCGAAAAAGCGAAACAAATAAACGATCAAGTTAAACGGAACATCCCATACTCTGCTCCTAGTAAAACTTAATTATATCTATAAAACTCATGTATTCTATCCATTTTATTGTATGGGTCAGAGGTTTGGGACGCTGACAATACGAGTTTCCGCAAACTTGAACGCCTACAATGGAAATCTCTGAAATGGGCCGGCGGGAGTTTGGCAACATCCTATTCTTCCATTTTAGTTTATCATCATGTTTTACCTATATGCTATCGTCATCAACTCAAAGATCTTCTTTTCTTCAACAAACTGCTAAACGGAGAAATGGATATGGATCCGTTCGACTATGTGAAGTACGAAAATGAGAATTCCGGTCTAAAGTGCATCAACTCCTTTTCTCTCGATTACATAAACCTCAAAGAAACGCACGGATAGTTCATTCTTTATTCGTGTTGTCCGAATGCCGAACCTTCTTATCAAGCAAAAAATCGACATTTTTGCCAAGCCCAAACTTTTCAAAAAAAAACTATCACAAACTTCTTTGTCAACATGACAGTTTCCAAATTCTGTTATTCAAGATCCTGTACTTGGTTTCTAGCTCTTGCCTGATTTATGTGATCTGAAAATACTTATTTGTTAACATCCTCTGTTATAGTTGTATTTGTAACCTTTTATAAAAAAAATTTAAGTCCATTTTGTTGTTGTTGTTGTTGCGAATAAAGAAAAAAGCGTAAAGAGTTTTAAAGCATTCGAGCTCCAACAAAATTTGAAACGCTGACTTGAGTAAATTTTCAACCCTTGCATGTTTTGGCCTTTTAACAGACCAAAAAAGGACTCCTATAACATGTGCCAAATGAAATGTCTTAAGCGTTTTTATATACGATTTAGCTGAAACGTGTAAAAACCTTTTCGTTGAACACGCAAAAAATAATACGTTGAAAAAGTTTAAACATGCAAACATAGGGTTCTCTTAAACATGTCAACACGGGGACTTCTTAAACATGTGTCACATGAAACGCCAAATAAATAATACGATCTTTTAATAATAGATAATTACGATCTTTTAGAGAACATTTGAAAAATAATTCAAGGTGAATCAATTTAACTTAAATTGTCAGTTGTAAATGTCTGGACACATTTGCCATTGTTGCTTCTCTTTAGATGCCCAATATCCACCCTGGTACGCGAACACTTGTCTTTGGCTCTTATCACAAAATTGCTCTTTGAACCAAACCGGAGGTGGCTCAGTATAAACATAATCAGTTGGCTTATTCTCAATCTGCTGCCTCCTGCGAGCTCTCTGCTTTTCCTCTAGTTTCGCTTTGACTTCATTTGCAAACTCCCATTTGGTGTGTTCTAACAAACGCACGTCTTGTCTCCTTCGCGAATCTGTGGGAGCAGCTCGCTCGTCTTCTTCGTTCAGCATCATTGCAAACTCACTCATGAAGTACCTTTCAGGGTTTATCACCGGGTTTGCAGTCCAGATAACTCTAGTCTTACTGGTTTTTCCACTCAAATCCGTGAATTCTATTCTCTCATTATAAAATCCAAATATTTTCCCGAGCAAGTTTCCCTCAGAGGACAAGATATCTGCTGTTATTTTATATGTAGCTGCGCCAAATGAAGGTACATGAAATTTAATAAGCATTCTATCGTTTGTTTTAATGTTTGTTACTAACATGTCGCCCTGTTGGTAAATCGAGAGTGATCCCACAATGATATTGTTAACAATTGTTTGGGGCTTTGAAAAAATATAGTGATTTCCATCATCAAACGTCACCTGCTGAACTCCAGTCGGAGTTATTTGGAGAAACTTTCCCCTAAATGAGGAGTTCATCGAATATTGGTGTCTCATACTCCATCCGCGTCCCTCGACGTGCTGCACTGATATCGGAGGATGGTGCTTAACTTGCTCTGATATCAAACGGAACCCCTGTTTTTCCGTTGAGAGGTCCAACTCAAAGGTTTCGTGAAGGAGCGGATTAAATGGTTTGCTGTGTCTGTAAACTGTCGTGCTAAACACTGATATACCAAAAGCACCAACATAGGCGATTTGCTCGGCGATGGAAGATGAACTACAAGCGGTGTCTAGCAAACTGCTATATTCCAAGTCTTCAGCCAGCCTTTGCAAAAAGGAAAGCGGCTCGTTGAAATTCACAGGCATTGGAATTCGACTCAAGTCTTTCCCAATACAATTCTTGAGAATTTTCCAGAGGTTAAGAGACATCTCTGGCCTTGGTGGTATGCTTGTTCGGTGGAGATTTTGATCTGGGCCACCATCAGATATTACACTCATCGGTGGGTCAGACGCGCTAGAAACAATAACTGAGTTGTCATTTTCAAGGCTATCATTATCGGTTGCAGTCGGAGGACCTAATCCGATAGAATCAGCACCTATAATCAGCGATGACAATTTTTGATCTTCTTTTCGGTCATCTTTCACGCAGTCAAAAAACTCGTCAGTTTCACTATCAGAATTAAAATTAGACGACTGCCTTTCTTCACATCCCAGTTTTACAGATGAAACAACAGTTGGTTTCAGACAAGCAGTTGCCACTTCTTCGCGAGGTAGTTTCTCTTGCAGATCGTAGGATTCCTGAGTTTTGCCACTGTTTGATAAGTTATTCAGAAGATAACTGTCAATTTGTGCTTGGGATTTTAATAGATCTTCAATCGTTTTTTGTAGCCGGGCTATTTGTTGTTTTTCTAAGCGCATTGAACGCTCCCATTTCTTCTTCTGCTCTTCAGATACTTCAACAAAATCGGAGCATGTTGATAACATTGTACCACTGGTCACTTTCAACAATGTTGCTCTTTCTTGTACGACCTTCAGCTGGGATGCAATATCGGTATCGTTCTCACCTTTAGCTGCCTTCCGACCAATTTCTTGTCCAACCATCTTGGAGAGCACAGAAAGATCTTTCACAAATTCCGAATGATGTTTACTAATCAAGTTTTTTAAAGTACTGATGTCGTCTAACTTCTGGTTGAAAACCATTATCTCGCTCTTCAACTCAGCTCCACTGGTCACCAGCATGTTTTTTTCGGACACAATTTCGGATTCATGGAAAGAGGCGGCAAAAACTTCCTCTTCGTCTGCCAAATAATTGCTAGCTTTAGCATCAGCGATTGCCCACTCACGAGCCAATTTCAAGGCAAGCATCCAACGTTGTTTGTCGATTTCCGTAGATGCTTTTAGATGCCACGTTTGAGCAGCAATTATTTGAAAACCAGAGGAGTCTTCGCAACTCTCTATCTGGCAATTAACAAGTGACATGCTTCCACGGCATGTCAATTCAACTTCGGTGGGTGACTTGTAATAATACAAATTTCCCCCGCTTATGATGAACCATCTACGCTGATAACCTTTCATGTAGTTAGTCCATTTGTACAGAAAGCCTTTGACTACTTCTGCTGAAGATGAATGAAATGGGAATGACAATGGTGCGGTTCCAGCAATCGGTGGAGAATAATCTGCCAACGCGGTCCCGGATCCATTTTTCGAGATGCTGGAATATCGGCTAACTGTTTTCGAGCTTTTCATTAAGAACAATCTGTAAAAAAAAAGGAAAAGAAAACCAACCAAATGTTGCATGAATTAAAGAGTAATCAAAGATCCAAATATCGTAGTAACCTTTATCACATTGTGCCACTCCCCCCGATTTGCACAGTCGAATCCGCCGATGTACACGAAAAATGACGTTAAAGACGTTAACAGTGAATTCGTAATGAAAAGGAGGGTCAGAACATTCTGGAATTAAAATTTTCAAAATTTCGATTGGAGGTAGGATATTTCTTTCCAAATCAGTAAATTACCAATATACAAAAATATACAGACATATTTACAGTTAAGATTGAAACAACGTATAACATAACAAACAAAAATTACAGGCTATAAATAACAACAATTTCAGAGATAAAAAATGTCTTCGAGACAGCCTGACTCCTTGAGTGAGCCGACAACCGAGGCAGCATTTCCAATTTGCAAAGCTATGGAAATTCTCTGCTTTAAATACGAGGAAGCGCGGGGTTCGAAAGAAGTCACAGCCAGTCTTCTTCCTAAATCACGCAAGAAGATCTCGGTCTCGCTTCCACAAGCTCCCTGTGTTTCAAATGCCACTGGTTGAAAGGCGTAGCCGTCACGAATAAGAGGTTCGTATTTGCGCGTTTTCAGAATTTCTGCTTCAGATGCAGCTTTACCAGCATTTAAATGGGGATCAGAGATGCGAGATGGAGCTAATCCGTCAACAACAGTAGCATCCCTTAGGAGGGGGGAGCCACGAATCCATGGAGTCAGTGTCAAGCCATCCGGTCTTTTTGCATCGGTTCTACATAACCCAGGAGGTTCTAGGACAGAAAGAATGTGAATTGATCCAAGCGACTCTTTAATGATTTGATTTAGCATGTAATTTCTTGCAAATCTTCCGGCACTGCGAGAGCACGAAAGGCCATGCAAACCAGACGAATCCACTTGTTTTCCGCAAACGCACCTATGCTCAACACAAACGGGGGCTCCTACTCGAAGACTGACGGAAATGCGAAGCTGCGTATTAGTTAATTTCAAGCCCAGAGACTGACAGGGAAGAGCATTTAACCATGCTGCAGCAGTCTTGCCTTGGTAACATAACAATCTCTTCTGTCCATTGCTGTCAAGTGCGCCGAAGCGTTGCGACGACAGAACCTTGTAGACCGGTGTAGTCCAAGATTTCTGGAGCTCGGGTGAGGGAGGAAACGATGTCGTTTCGGAGAGAGGAGACCACAGGTTGAAAGCAGATGAAAAGTTTATGTCGCTCAAGCTAGCGCCCAGGGGTCCAAGAATGGCCATGATTAAAGAACTGCAACCAGCCGCAGAAGCCATGAAGGCAGGAAGCGCGAGGTGGAGAGCAGAAGACAAACCAAGGCCACCCATGGAGCTGGGAAGCAAAGACTGTAACCGATTGTTGGGACAGAGTCTAACGTTGACGCACTGTGACAAAGCACCAACAACTAAAGTGTCATACTCCTGCAGAAGTTTGCTTTCTTTGAAACAGCTAGACGAGCGCAGAAAATAAAGAAGCTTTGGCAAGCTCAAGCAGTTGCGGAGGAGATATAAAGCATGATGAGCTTCGACATTTATGAGAAAATTGCACATTTCTTCAAGTTCTGACCTCTTGGCAGTCAGTAAAGCTTTCCTGGCAGTTTAGCCAACAGGAGCACCAAGGATCACGAGGTTTTCCGGCTTCGTTTCCTGTATCCCGGGGCACACCTGGTTGAAGTCTGCGATTATAGACTCTTTCAGGTCCTCAGTTGGTCTACCAAGAAATATAATTTCACACTTTGACGGATGGAGCTCCAGGCCAACTTCAGCAGCAGCACTGATAATTTTCTTCAGATCCGAAAGAGCTATTGCTGCTTTATCGCCAATATTGCCATCGTCGAGATACCAAATATTCAAAACGGAACAAAGAGAACTAATAATTTCCATGATCAAATCAGAAAAGAGGGGAGGACCTTCGGGGTATCCCTGCTGCACTCCAATTTCTGACAAAATGATGTCTTCACCAAAGAAAAGGTAACTCGAGGTCGCATACGACAGCACCGGGTAGTTATATATGTCAGGCGATTTTGTTCTAATACTTTCAAGCAAACACTTTCTAGAAATAGAAGTGAAAGCGTTGCGGAAGTCAACTTTCACCATGATAAAGTCTTCGGGTAGGTCCATAGTCATGAGGTTTCGGACAGCGTGTGCAGCAGCCCCGGCGCCTTTGTTGCAACCATATCCAAGTTGAAGATGCCCATAGTTCGTCTTCCGAAGAAACTTCTGAGAATGTCTTGCACATTTGGACGCAAGTCTCCGAAGGGTATTGCCGGGGACACACTCCGTCATCTTTCTTGCCAAGCGCAAACAGGTTGGCTGAAAAGAAATATGGCCGGAACTCAGCTGGCAACTTACCCGCCGCTAATGTGTTCACAAAGAGGGTCAGGCTAATTAGGAGTTTCTTGCCAGCTTCTCCGGTACACGGGGATATGAGATCTTTCAAAATTTGAGGGGTCAATTTATCTGGTCCTCCAGCAGATCCACTCGGGAACGAAAGAATGCATTTAGAAACTGCTTTCGCATCAACAACAAAATGCTGCTCTATAAAATCTGGGGGCTGGATGTTTTCACGCGACTCGGGGTGTTTCCCTTGAAGTTTCTTGAGGGTGTCTGCGTTGACAGGCGCTAAAGAGTCATTAGAAGCCGCAATTCGGACAGCAGCTTTAATATTGCCATCGTTGATTTTTGTGCTGACCGCTCGAGCTCTAAGTTCGACATCACTCGGCGTTTTACTGCCTTTGGTGGGGCGGTTTCGAGCCTCAGAGTCGTTTGAATTTAAGGAGGAAATGCGCTTGTTGATCTCTGAGGCCAAAGATTTCCTATGTTTTTGCATGTACGCTTCGGCTGTTGCAGACAGGAAAAAGCAATGCGATGGAGCTCGCACCATCTATCAACAGAGCTGGGGTCATCGCACTACGATTTCATATTGGTGGATAGGAGTTCAGCGAGCTGGTTTCTGGAACCTTTGGGAATCCGTTTCAGGGTTCGAGGACCAGTCTTTGTCACTTCAATCAAACAAGCCAGTTTGGCGTTCTCGTGTGGCTCATTGACATTGAGATTCTGGAAAAGCTGTGTAAGCCCCGAATCGCCATTTTGAGCCGACCTGCATTTACAGCACACGTATTCTGGAATGCCGAGAACAAGGACCTCCGACGTACCATCACACTTAAAATGATACCAGATTTTGCACCAGTCACACTGAACGCCTCTACTGCGTACATAACCTCCGTACCGGCATCTGTCTTTGCCACATCTAGCTTCTTCAGCCATATATGGACGTAACGTGAAAAATGGCTACTTCACTAATTCTAGAGTCGCGCCAAATTATTTTATTTGCCCGATAATCGTGTCGGTCATTATGTCCATCAGACGTTCCGAATTCACCAACAGCTAAGTTGTCTCGTTATAAGTTGTCTCGTCTAGATGCATGGCATAGCGTTTCATAATTATTCAGTTTTCTAACAATCGAATACTTTTAACTGAAGGTCATTTTGTTTCGCAATCATAAATGTAGTTTTTTTTTTCGTGAGAGTAAGCAATGAAAATCTGTTAGGTTTTGTGAAAGAATCCTCTCTTTTTTTCTTCAGGTGAATCAAGCATCAACAGTTCTTGATACCAAGCAGCCGAGGGTTTACATACATCAACATCTCAAACTATTTAATAAGTTTATCACAACAATTAGGCTATTGTTGGGGATATTTCTGAGAAATGTAAATACGGTCGTTTTGTCCGAAAAGCACAAGAAAAACAGACAACTGGATTAACGAGACAAAAATCAGTCGCAAGAAACAAGAGAAAAATGAAGCCTCTTATCGTGACAATACGACACGCTAAGACGCTTATCCGCGGAAGATTAGATGGAAGGAAGGTCCATCCGGAGCGGGTCCGTACTCTCTCATGCCATGTAACATTCGGCCGGAAAGTACATTACGACGGAAAGTAAAAACTATATCCTATAACGACTGGCTAATGTCTAAACACAGCTCCACGTGCTTTTCACCGTCTCTATTGAAGCCAGTCCAAAATGGTCCTAACATCGGGTTAACGAGTTGCTAACTCCTGAAGGCTATCAGGCGAGTCACGCAAATTAACTTAATTGCATGCAAACTAAAGAAAGCAAGGCTGTGTCTCATAATAGTAATAATAATAACAAAGGATTTAGGACTAAGCCAAGGGTTCGCATAAAACCCAGTGATTGGGAGGTTCAACGTTCGTGTTTCAGTTGTTAAAGTTTAGTTTCTTCAAATCTCTACAGTTGTTGCAGCCACATAATATCCGCCAAGTGCATGAAACTGATTCGTTGTAGCGGGTTTTGAAGAACTTCGTATAAACTTCCAGCAGTTTAATTTTGCATCCTGGATCAAAGATTATGTCAAATATGAAGTAATCGTTAAAAATTTTGGCCAGACGGCAAGCTCGAAACCAGTAATCGGGTTCACACTTCTTCAAAAGTATTTGTTGGCAGGCAAAATATCGTGTTGCTTGTGTTCTTCGAGTACCGATGTCTGTGATGGTTACTTGACTACGCCAGTCTATGTCAATTTTTCCGGTTAGTATTTTGGCAAACAAGAGAATAACACGAGGTTCTTGATATAAGGAGATTGGAAGGATATCGAGTTTCACGAGCTTATCCTTATAGGATATGTTGTTTGTGATGAAGATCAATGATACAGCTTTTCGCTGGATACTTTCAAGAGTACCTAAGTCGCCTTTTGATGGTTTCCAAAGGGCTGATCCGTAGTTTAAAATTGGCACAACATAAAAGATATATGCGTTCTTTATGTTCCAAAACGTCGCTTTTGAAAGATTCCGTTTTAGGATGAAGAGAGCGTTCAAGGCTTTTTCGGTCCTTTTCTTTGCATGCAAAGTCCACGAGAGTGTGTCATTTACGAGAATTCCCAGATCTTTCATACATTCAGTTGTTTCAAATTCATCGTTTGGCAGTGCAATAGGAGCTGTACCTTTAATGCAGAGCACTTTACTTTTTCCTAAGTTCATTGACATGAAACTTTCGTCACACCACCACCACAGTTTTCTAACGTCTATATTCAGTGTTAAAGGGTCGTCGCCTACAATTTTGTAAT